AAAAAAAAAAAAAAAAGCCATGTTTGAGGTGACATTTTCTTTATAAAAGTTTAAAGTTCCAAAACCTAAAAGCAACAAAATGGAGAGTTTCCTTTTGCATTACCGAGATCACCCACCACTTTCTTTCTCCCAAAGTCTTATTTCAGAAAGTTTTCTTTGCCGACGTTTCGATCTTTCTCTCGGTTCTATTTCATTGGAGGCTGTGATTCACAACAACATTGGTGTAGTTGAACAATCAAAGTTTCTTCTTTCGGGTGTAGGTGAAGGTGGACAACATTGGGATTTGCAACATTCTAAGTCGAAGGAGATTCAAGTTTTTGGATCTCCAATCAAAGTGCAAGGCTGCAATCCTGCCAAAGTGAATATTCGTCATCATTTCTTCCTCTTCTAGTTCTAGTGGAGATGTTAGTCCAATGTGAGCCAAGAATTTCCAAACTCCAACTTCACCGATATTTAAAGTTGTTTGCAACGCTTTCCAGTTTTCCCACCTCTCTATCGACATGCATTCCTTTCTGCATAGGCCCGTTAACGAGATCCCATCTACATACAATGGCAATATCTTCTTTGAACTACCACCTCTTGTCAGCTCAAAACAAAAGGGGATGGAGACTAAGTAAGATGTCCACAACTGGTGCAAGATCAAGACCACACATTTCCAGCATTTCGAAAGCACAGTATCTATGGTTCATTGTGGTGGGTATTTGGATTGTGTGAATAAAGCATGCAATCGAGAGCGTGGTAAAAACTCCACATTTTTTGAAGGATCTGCAACCAATCCTCCCATCTGTGACACCATTGGTATTGGATTCAAATGTCAATTTTGCAAGAATGCTCCACTGTGTCGTGCCATATGCAGGGCCAAGATGTATTATTTTCTTCCATGGGATGGAGAGGATGGTAGAGCTGTAGTATATATTGGCACACACACACATCCAATGCATGAAGGGATACAAAGGAGTTCAATCAACCGTTTTAAATATGTAGTGTAGATAGAAACTGTGAGAAACTCATCTGCAACTTCGAAGCATGTTCAAAAAACAATGCTCAAGGATTTTATCGCAAGCACTTTACTTGATCTGGACTACGAGAATACTCAACTGGATGAGGCTAGCTTGCCAGAGTTACTACGACATATGCAACCTGCAACTAGCCTTAGAAGGTATAAAAATATTATTACATACTTTTCAATAATATCTCTCTTACATTCTGTTTTATTTAGGATAAAGTCTTGGATGTGTGAATCTCGAGAGGGGAAACTCCAATAAAAAATCAACTCAATCTTTGAAATAAAACAAACTTATCCCTACGAGTTTATCCATGGGAGTTTATTTCCAGATCAAGTCGTTAGTGAGCAAAAACACCCCTTCGTTTTCAAAATTTTCTACCATAGGCCCCGCCTCTAGTGTAGATCTTATTTCCCAAATGGATATGTCTGGGTCGAGTGACCTTGCTAATGCATAGGTACATTTTGACCATATGGAGTAGGTGGCAGGTTAGACAACCATGGGAGCTCATGTGTATAATCCGGGGTAGTTTTTTTTTCTCATTATCTTAAAATGGTTTTAAGCATTGCCCTTTTCAGAGGCTACGTTGTAACTTGACAATTGCAACAGTCATCCACATCATATGATACAAGATGAATATATTATACATTTATACTCTTTATAGAGATTCACTATAATAATATATTATGCTCATACAAGGAGAATAGAAAATAAACAAACAACTTACTTTTCTGTATAATATTTGACTCTAGATTATTGTTTCAGAAGTAATATGAGTATTTTTATTAATAGTGATAATAGACTTTATATTCTTGGATGGGTAATAAGGACTAAGAGTGTAATATGAAAATCATGGTAGTGAAGCAATATTTTCACATTTCTTTATGCTAGAATTACTTGCAGATTTTTGGTTTTCTTTGCTTCCCATCTTTGGAAAACACTAGAGAATGAATGATGAAATATTTTGAATTATCTATATATTTTTCGCTTGATGTGTGGTGGTCAATTGTTGAAATGTCAAAATGTCAAAATGTCAACATATCAAGATGTTAAGATAGAAATTTTCAAGTTCATGGCAAACTTTAATATTTCTATTTTTATTTGGGACAAAAAAGGCTTCTTTTAACTAGAAAATTGTGAATATAGAAACTAACAATTATATAGGTTTGGATAAAATTCTAATTCTAGAAACTACTTAATCAATATTCTATTGTATAGCTCGTATTAAAAATTAGAAGTTCTCTTCATTAATAGTTTCAAAATAATATAAATTTCTAACCATTAACAATTAAATTTATAAATTTCAAATTCAATAAAATTTCTTTGTAAACTTATAGTTGATTACATTAAGTAGCATTGACTTGAGTTGAGTTGAGCTCAATTCATGAGTTTAACTCAATTTTGGATCATCCCCAAGAATTCCTAGACATGGTGCCATGTTATAGCATTTAATTGAATGCCATGTAACTCTTCACTATACCCTAGCATTTTGCAAAGGCATTCACACTGTTGTTGGTGATAACACTGTGGATCCTCTAGTAGCTCTTCAAATAGAGCACATGCTCTGAGTGCAATGAAGATCAAATGTACTATTGCAAAAACTTGATACATACATTTTTTAGGAGAATCAAAGAACCCTAAATACACAAAAATCTTAAAGTTGATTATATGGAGAGAACAGCAACTTCATAAGTCCATTTCATAAAGTTATTTACTGTAAAATAATCAAAATTGCTTTTTTACAACAAACTTACCACTATATATACATTTGAAGAAATAAATGATTTTGGCAGGAAATTTCTCCAAGGGGAAACAATTGCAATGACAAATTACTATTGTAATTACCATTAGTTATATGTCTCCAATTGGGTGCCAAAAAAACACTGAAAGACCCCATTATTATACCAGTTTTGCAAATGTATCTATGTTTGTTACTTATACTTTAATATGAGAAAACACACTATTTCACTATTGTACAATCACAATGGAAAGAGATGACACCCTAGGAGAAGGAAAAACGAATAGAGGACCTTATTTCAGTTGTGGAGTTGGATACATAGTAGTTTAGTGAAGTTGAAGACAATTTAATTTTATATCCTGGAAACTGTGAATGGTATGTCTCATATGCTATAACCCTTAGCCTCAAACTCAAGGCTTACCAAATTTTTGGCTCCAACAGCATCAAGCCTTTGCCTAATTGAGCACCTTTTTGCTACTCTCTAAACTGCTAAGATCCAACATTTAATGCACCAGTCCCTCTTGGTTGAGGACACAAGTTGCATTCACAAGGGTTTATCTTCAACTTGAGTAGAGAATCCATGCCCAGCAAAGATTAGAGGATACAAGCTTTGGGCTGGAGATGGGGAGTAGGAGGCAGTCAGCATGGGACATGGCTAGTCAACTCGAAAGGTTGTAAGTGTCTGGATTGGCAAAGTTTGAGAGAATGTAGGGTGAACAGGATGCCCTAGTATGCATTGACAAATCATGCAGGAATGAAAGATTTTGTAAATGAAAAATTAGTATTATTTTGTGATTAATCCTTTATTTCTTTAAATATTTGTTAAAATTCACAAAAGCAAGCACAAATCCCATCACAATTGCAAACACTATATGGATCAGGACAATAATATGAAAAGCAGTGGCAACGCACTCTTGAAGGATATAAAACTTCACCCTCAAGGAGCTTGTGTGCTGGAATAATATTTGGGGTTGCATCTCTAGAACTTGCAACAACAGTAAAAATCATCAAGAAAAAACAGATAATGTGAGTAGAAAACACCATTTCTTAAGACTTGAATGAATTAATTTCAAACAAACAAGCTTTTATATAGTAATATAGTGGAAAGAAACAAAAGGCTAGCATTGGTAAATACAATTGTCTATAGACTTTATCTTGATTTTTTTATGTCCTTTTCTTATATAAAATAGCTATTTCTTTAAAAGCATCAAAAGCCTTTGTATTTAGCAATGTTAATCTTTTTTGTCCTTTACCAAAAAAATAGAGACAAATCATAATTCATTTTATATCAAATAAATAAATGTTTTTTTTCCATACTTAGTACATGGTAATATGAGTGTAAGAGAACACCCTTGTATAATAAATCTCTTGCACATTTAGTCAAAAAATTTAAGGTAGAACTAATAAGTTGATGGAATAAAAACATTTTTTTCAAAATCCTCTAAATACTTTGTTCTATATTTGTATGCTGTTGGAAAGGGCCTTTTTCCAAATTCTCAGCAGTATTTTTTGTTGTAAAAATTTACATATGATATATGAAAAAAATTATAAGTTTAATTTACTATTTTAATAAACATTTTACAAAATAATTAGAGCTGTGTACAGCTAAGATGCCATATACTAATATTAGCATAGTGGGATCACAGAGCCATTTAAAAACTATATATTTTAATGTTTTTTTCTGATGATTTTTACTCTTGTTACAAATTCTAGAGATGGAAACTTGAATATTTTTCTAGCAAGCAAGCTTTGTAAGGATGGAGTTTTACATCCTTTAATAACAGTGGCTACATGCCCTCCATATTATTGTCTTGTTCCATGTCTTATATGCAATTGTGATGATGCCATTTGCTTGTTTTTGTTACTTGTAACGAAATCCTAAAGTTATGAAATAAAGCATTAATCATACTTTTTTTTTTTTAATCTTAGTCACTTCCACCAGAAAAAGAAGTTTGTAAATAAGATATCATTCTAATCAAATTATAAACTTCCTTTCGCAAATACTAACAGGAGAAGGAGCATCCCATTCACCCCACATTCTCTCAAACTCGGTCAATCTCTCCACACACTCGTCTAGCGTCCCCAGGCGAGACACCCGCAACCTCTCCAATTGACTGCACTGACCAACCACGTTGTCATAGACAGCCTCCCAGTCAGCATCCCAGTCCCCCGTGGCATCGCAAAGCTCCACCCCTTCGTTAGGTCCACTCCAGCTCCACCCCCTGTTTAGTGCCTCGGCGATGGCGTGAGCTTCCTCTCCTCTGATCTTCGCCCGGCATGGACGACACTTCGCTCCATTTAGAGGTCCTTTGCTCGCCATGGTCATCACAGGCACGCCCCATTCCCTGGGCGGCCAATCGTACTTCTTCGCGCTCACCACGCAAAAGGGGAATTTCTTGAGCTGGACGCTGGTGTGCGTGATTTGGAGCTGCGCCTTGAATGCTCTCTCGGAATTTAGGCGCTGGAATCCGTTTGCGTGGAGGCGATCGAGGCATTGGAGGCGGTGGAGAGCGATGCGGCTGGAGTTGCGAGTGCCGATGCCTAACCTGTCGTTGAGGCCGCCGAATTGGGAGCCGTATGGGATAGTGTAGTGGGCGCCATCGAAGGTGGAGATGGGCGGCATAGGGGCACTCCAGTAGCCATCTAGCCTTGTTCTTACGATCCAATCGTACTGGAAACCATGACGACGTTCGTGTTTCGTGATGAGATCCCAGCAGCCCTCGACGAGATTGAAATATTGCAGTAATCCCTGCGAGATGTCAAGTTTGGAAAGAAGGTGGCCAAAGCTAAAAACAGAGTACCTAGATCGATGCAAAGAGAGCTTACTTGAATCCCATCGGATGTGAGGACTTGCTTGCGAAAATCAAGCTCGGGTATGGGTGTTTGATCGAAGATCCGCGCTGCTGCCAACCGCGAGGACGAAGAATTTCTGTTCGATCTAGCGCCCCTGCCCAGCAGGAAGAGCTTGTAAGTGTTCTCGTCCAGCGGCGCGTGGAGGAACACATCCGAATTGTTTCCGTAGACGTGGAGGATTTGGTCCACTATGCTTGGTCCAGTGATCTCGAAGGCTCTGGCTCCGCCTACAAGACAAATTGCGACCCGGGGATCCTGAAAGAACACGAGAATTCCACCAATGTTTTTTTTTCTGAAACAGCGCATACCGCAAGCTTGTGTGCGCGAGGATTCCTTTGCTGATTGTGGACGAAGAAGGCCAGTCTCGTTGATCGCAACCGGGACGATGGGCGATCCACTCCATGGAAAACCAGGCAAATCGCGGCGAGCAAGATGAAAGGAGCCACTCTTTTACCCTGCGAAGACCGCATATCTTAGCCTAGCGAAGAGCAATGCCCACACGTTTATGGTTTTAAAGGCGCGCGCGTTTCTGCAAAGAGAAAGGGTCACGCCGTACAGCGCCGTTCGTGCTTGTGATCATCTGGATGATCGCTCCTCGACTCTTGCCCTAGCGCGATTTCTTCCCGATTGTGTCCAAAAGCTATACTTCTTCATCTCCGACGATCAAGAGGCCGTGCTTGAATGACGCGATTAACGCCTCCAATTCGGCCTCGCAATAGAATCATTTGCGATCTCTGCCCTTAGAACATTTTAGGCGCGCGGGTTTTGAAATTCAATCCGGCCGTACAGTGCCGTTCGTGCCCTAGGATGTTTCTCTGGGATGTTTGTTAAACCCTAGGAACGAGCACCTTGCCGTGTCGCGGTCGCGTCCCTGTTGCGGTCGGATCTTGCGGCGCAGCTGCTGTCACTGGCGATCCAGGTAGCTGCTCACGCGTAATCTCGATCCAAATTGGCGCATTCCAGGCCGGGATCGAATGAGGGTTTAGATCAGAGCGATGGGAGTGGAGAAGGGCGGCGGCGACGCCGACGACGCCAATGCGGCCGGGCGGCGGGAATCGCCGCGAGCGAATGGCGAGCTCGATGTCGTGGATCTGGAAGTACCAGCGGGGATTAAGTAAGTCTTGTGCGCAAACTTTCTGGAATTCACGCAATCCGCATCCGCCAGGTCGGTCAATACTGGCAGATCCAGTCAAAATGCTCGCTTTGATCAAGATGATGGGCCGGTGTCTCCGACTGACGAGATTTTTGATCAAACCGAGAGAGAAACAAAGCTGGAGCTTTTCGAGATTGATTCGCTCGTCGATGTGGTCGGGCTCAAAAGGTATGTGCAAGGCTTCTAATTTTTCTATGTCCTATAGAACTCAAGTGTCTTACCTCAGTATGGGAGGCCAGCAGCCACCACAAGCTTTTAGTCCCAGGGCTGGAGAAGAGATTGCTATCACGCTTGGCCGTCCTCGGGTACGTCGAAAATCCACTGTTCGCTCATGTTCTTGTCTTGAAAAAAATTAATTTTCAGCCTCGCGGTGCAAAGCTTGGAACACTCATGGGAGTCTTTGTACCATGTCTTCAAAACATTCTAGGAATTATTTTCTACATCCGTTTTTCGTGGTAAGTTTTCTCCGAGTTGTATTAAGATTTGGTGATGCTATTCGGTGACGATATCCAGGATTGTAGGCCTTGCTGGAATTGGACAGAGTTTGGTGCTCGTCTCTTTGTGCTGCTTATGCACATTCTTGACTGGGATCTCGCTGAGCGCCATAGCCACCAATGGCGCGATGAAGGTTCAAAATTTTGCGTTGCGACAGTTTTTCTTTTGGTTAAGCACTGGTTTATAGGGTGGCGGACCGTATTATCTGATTGGTCGAGCTCTTGGTCCGGAAGTCGGTATTAGTATTGGGCTTTGCTTTTTCCTTGGAAATGCGGTTGCTGGATCACTGTAAGTGTTCCCCTGTCCTTGATTGTTCGATCATAACTGGACACTTCTTAGGTATATTTTAGGTGCAGTAGAAACTTTTCTGGATGCTCTTCCTGGGGCCGGCATATTTCAAGGCTAGTAAATCTCAAGAGTTCCCTTTCTATTCTTTTGCGTGTTTTTAATTTGCTTGATTTTTCATGTGCAGAAAGCGTGACACAACTAGCACCAGCTCCAGCAGGCTCGAGTCCTGAGATATTAAAAAGTCCCAGTTTGCATGACCTTCAAGTGTATGGAGTAATTGTGACAATTATCTTATGTCTTATCGTCTTTGGAGGTGTGAAGATCATCAACAGAGTGGCCCCGGCTTTTCTTATTCCAGTTTTATTATCCGTTTTCCTCATCTTTATTGGTATCTTTGCTGCTCCTCGACGTGGTGATCCATGTAAGCAATCAAATGTTTATTGAGCCGTTCTAATATCTGTGATGTCCAGCGGGAGTGACGGGCCTCAGATGGAGAACACTCCATGCTAACTGGGGTCCCGAGTACCAGCGTACCAACAGAGCTGGAATTCCTGCGCCAGATGGTATCATATACTGGAATTTTGAGTATGTGTCGTTGCGTTTTTCATCTGGTTTGCTAGGGAATGCATGAATCGTTTTCTTTCTATTTCGTCAAATTCTATATCGCATGCTTTTAATTTCTGTTTGTCGGACGCCGTTATCTTTTGCGTGACTTCTTTGTTTTTCAGGGACCTGCTGGGGCTTTTCTTCCCGGCAGTTACTGGTATTATGGCTGGCTCCAATCGCTCTGCATCTCTGAGAGATACACAGCGTTCTATACCGGTGGGAACTTTGCTAGCCATTGCCTCCACGACATGTCTTTATTTAATTTCAGCTATCATGTTTGGCTCTGTGGCAAACCGTGAAGAACTCTTAACAAATCGGTATGCATTGAGAAAACTCTATTTGTATGTTTGTAACAAATTCTTTTTTTTTTTTTTGGTTATCTAGATTGCTGACCGCGACATTAGCTTGGCCTGTTCCCGCAGTCGTTCAAGTTGGCATTATCCTTTCGACACTTGGCGCAGCTCTTCAAAGTTTAACCGGTGCGCCAAGGCTGCTAGCTGCTATTGCAAATGACGACATACTCCCAGTTTTGAAATATTTCAAGGCACCAGACGGGGTCGAGCCTCATTTGGCAACTCTTTTCACCATGTTCATATGTTCAAGCTGCGTCATCATTGGTGATCTCGACCTCATCTCTCCCGTTATTACCATGTTCTTTCTCTTGTGCTATGCGGGAGTTAATCTTTCCTGTCTTTTGCTCGACTTACTTGATGCTCCAAGCTGGCGTCCTCGGTGGAAATTTCATCACTGGAGCTTTTCGCTCCTGGGTGCTCTATTGTGCATAGGTACATACTTTTACCAATTACTGAAGTTACCTGTAACAGTGTTTATCTGGATTACAGTTATAATGTTTTTAATATCCTGGATTTTCACAACTGTATCACTCGCGTTGGCAAGTCTCATATATTATTACGTTAGCTTGAAAGGCAAAGCAGGAGACTGGGGTGATGGTTTTAAAAGTGCTTACTTTCAGCTTGCTTTAAGAAGTCTTCGTTCCTTAGGAGGTAAGCTTTTTCCTATCTTCAAACTCTTTAAATTATTGTTACTTCTGCAGCAAACAACGTCCACCCGAAAAACTGGTATCCCATTCCACTTATATTTTGCAAGCCTTGGGGGATTTTGCCACAAGACGTTCCATGCCATCCCAAACTCGCCGACTTTGCCAACTGCATGAAGAAGAAGGGCCGCGGTATGTCCATATTCGTTTCCATTTCGGAGGGAGAGTATATAGATAAGGTAGACGAGGCACGTCAGGCGTGTCGATTACTTGGAACTTACATCGACTACAAAAACTGCGAAGGGGTGGCCGAGGTGATCATTGCGAAGGATGTCTGCGAGGGGTTCCGGGGTATTGTACAGACTATGGGACTTGGCAACCTCAAGCCAAACATCGTCTGCATGAGATATCCTGAGATCTGGAGGGACGAACAACATGGCCGCGTCTCCGATGTTTTCGTAAGCATTATCAACGACTGCTCCATCGCAAACAAGGCCGTGGTGATCGTCAAGGGGCTGGACGAGTGGCCGGGCGAATACCAGAAGCAGTATGGAACCATCGACCTCTACTGGATCGTCCGCGACGGTGGCCTCATGCTGCTCCTCTCCCAGCTCCTCCGAGCAAAGGACAGCTTCGAGAGCTGTAAGATTCAAGTCTTTTGCATCTCGGAGGAGGACACCGAGGCGGAGGAGCTCAAGGCCGACGTGAAGAAGTTCTTGTATGACCTGCGCATGCAAGCCGAGGTGATTGTGGTGACGATGAAGTCGTGGGAGGCTCACCAGGAGGACCGTGGCGTGGATACTGGACGGGAGGACGCAATGGAGGCCTTCTCCAAGGCCAGGAAGAGGATTGCTCACAGGTCTGCCGAGCTCAAGAAGAAAGCTGCGTCGATCGAGGACGAGGTCCAGCACTCTTACAACGAGCAGCAAGTTAACAAGTTCCTCTACACCAGCCTCAAGCTCAACTCAATCATCATGAGATACTCGAGAATGGCGGCCGTGGTGCTGGTCAGCTTGCCACCGCCACCTCCCAAGCATCCCTCATATTGCTACATGGAGTACATGGACCTCCTCGTCGATGGCATTCCCAGGCTGCTAATGGTCCGTGGCTACAGGAGAGACGTGATCACCATCTTCACGTAAAATGGCTGTGAATTTGCTGCTATCATTCTTTTCGTCACTGCTACTATGGCCGAAATTTTGTACACCCGGGGACTCTGTATCCGTGGAAAGCTGTTGATTAATGGGCATTTTATAGACCATTGGTGTCGATATCTTGTGTTCCACACATTTTGCGAATGCTAGTAAAAGCCAACGATGAGAAGCGAAAATGAGTGGTACATACCATATTTGTGCATTGAAAGCTGAGGCAGTCCACAATCTACCGTCCTGACGCTAGTATGGGACTAACTGTTAAGCCACACCCCATGACATTGCGCAGTAGCAAAACAATGACTGAAAAAAATGGCTCTACGAAGCTCAAGGTTACCTGAGTTTGTATATTTGCAAGTCGAGCAACTTCTTTGAAGAGAAATGCAGTGACGGAGTTTGTAGCGTATTGTTAGTTTGCGTTGTGTTTGATCACCAAGCCTTGCTGATGGTTTTCTTCGTTCTTTTGGGAGTAGTTGGGCCATATCAGCAGAGACTGGCAGAAAGAAACGATTATAGAAGAATATCTACTCGTCATCTCATAGCCTAACTCTAAGTTTGCTTAGCTGAGCATAAAACTGATTCTCCAGTCATAGTCAGTGGGGAAGGTAACATTAAAAGTAGAGGTGGAGCCAATAAAATGAAGCCATCTCTAATGTAATTCTGTGTAAATATTTTTCCTCCATAGTGGCTTTGCATGTGTGAAAGGCAAACGATTCCATGGGTTTTTGCACATTAAGAATGTACATTAGAGAGTGATTCTAGTGCAGCCATTTCTAAAAG